TTGCTGGGCCAAGTTTAAATTGAACTGCCCTTATTCCTGAGCAGTATGACTGTAACTCCAGAGTATATTTAATTAAATAATGCAACAAACATTTTTGGAATACCTATTTATTTGGTCATTACCTTATACATATCAGCCATTTATGTTAGAGCATCTCTGTTACTTCTCAGCTCTCTCTGATTTGGTTTATCAATTTAATGGCAGATATTTTTGTAGTTTATTATATTCACAGCAATGAGGGTGGGACATGGGTTAGGCTTTTCCTATTTCACTATGAATTGCTATGTTTGCTGTAGGATTTTTCTGTTTTGATTTGCTTTGATCTTGTAGCTATCTTTTATCAGGTTAAGGAAGTTCCTTGTATTCCTAATTTGTTGAGTTTTTTCCTACCAAGAATGTATGTTGACTTTTATCAAATGATTTTTTTTTTCTGGATCTTTTGAGATGACCATATGAGTTTTTTCTTTTTCTTTTTTTTTCCCTGTAAGTATGTTGAATTTTGTTAATAGGTTTCAAGTATTAAGTTGCCTGTGCATTTCTGGGAGGAGCCAATCTTGGCTGTGGTGTTTAATTCTTTTTATAGACCACAGGATTTAGTTTGCTTATATTGTGTGTATGATTTTTACACCTATGCTTATGGGAGGCAGTGGCTTGTTCTTGTTTTATTTATTTCTTGTAAAATTCTTGTCAGATTTCGATGTCAACATACTGTCCACATAAAATGAGCTTGTAAATATTTCCTTATTTCTTTTCTCTGGAAGATGTTACATACAATCGGCATTATTTTTTCCTTGAAAGTTTTGTAGGAATCAAGGATGAAAGCTGAGCCTGGTGTTTTTTCCTTGGGAAAGAAGTTACCAGTTGAATTTCTTTCATAGATACAGTACTATTCAGTTTTTTTTTCTTGTGTCAGTTTTCACCTCTGCTTCTTTCCCTTCCTTCCTTCTGCAATCTGTGTTATTCTGTGGCTTCCTCTCTCTTTTCGTTATATATCTTGGAGGGGTTTTTTTCTACAGCAGTAGCTATAGGGCTTCCTCATTCTTTTAATGGCTATGTAATATTCCGTAGAATGAAATTACCATATTTTACTTAATGGATCCCCTATTGAGGAGTATTTAGATTGTTTCCAAATTTTGACTGTTATAATGTAACAGTCATGTAAGACACATCACTGTACATGTATCTGAGTGTATAAGTAGAAGTATTTGTTTCATCTTAGTTTTTCTCTTCTACTCCTTAGTAGTAACTAGATCCAGCGTAAATAGTGGAAAAGGAATTATTGCTTATTTTCTTCTTAACATTCTAATGAGGCAGACTTAGACTTCTCTTTTATTTTCTAAATGATACTTTTTGCATTCCATTACTACCTTGGGGTATATAATCATCTCTGCCTTCATGATTTATTACTGCTCAGAGTTGAGATCCTGAAATACCCTTTATTTGATTTGCACTTGATTTGTCAATGGAGGAATATCTACACAGGGACAAAATTTTGTCTCCTTTGTCCAGCGCTTTATCCTTAATGCTCAGTATAGAGTCTGGCACATAGTAGGTGCTTAAAAATGAATTATTTGTGGAGAGACACAGTGAGATGTAATTGTTCCAAAACAGTACCCATGGGCTGAAGGATATTCATTCCTTTATTTGGTGAATGATTTTTAGGGGTGTGGTAACCAGCGGCGTGTTAGGTGTTTAATTAAGATGCAAAGATGAATGAGATACCAGGCCTGTGTCTCACAGACCAGAGGGAACAGGCACATAACAAGATCGTTGTAGCACAAGTCACAGTGTTATAATGGCACTGGAAGGCACAGAAGAATAAGCAAAGACACTGCCTCAGAGGGATGTGGAAGGCTTGTGGAGGGAAGGATGCTTGAACTGGTTCTTAAAAGATGGTTCTGGTTCTCATGGAGAGAAGAAGAGGAGTGGCACATACAGGAGTCAGGAGATGTGTGATATAATAGGGAAAGGTGAGATGTTCGGACTCATTGAAAGTTTGGAGAGCGTTGGTGGGGGCAGGTAGTTAAGGGGATCTAGGAAGACATGGCCAAGGGTTGGGATGAGATGGCAGAAGAAGGCTTGGGTAAGATTGCAAAAACTCTTGGGTTCAGTTGGAAGAAGTCTGGACTTTATCTTGTAGTCAGTAAAAACTCACTACAGGTTTTAAAGTAGCAGAGTGTGTCAGAAAACCTTGTAAAACAGTGGCTTAAACGAAGTCATGTTTGCTCACCAAGAAATTTGAAGGTAAGCATCAGTTGCTGGTTTTGGTTCAGTGTCTTGAGGCTATTCAGAGCAAGATCTCTGTGCTTCTCTTCATTATTTTCCTCATGGCTAAGTGGGGGCTGCTGAAGCTCAAGCCACCATGTTCAAATTCTAGGTTGGTAATAGGGGGAGCATCCCAGAGCAATTAGTGGAATCTTTATCAAGAATGCAAAACTTTCTCTGAAGATTGAAGTTTCTGTCTCTTTGGCCAGAACTGTGTTTCATGGCACTCACCTGACTGCAAGGCAGGCTGAGAAGTGTTATCTGGGCATGTTTATGTTCCAAAAACAATAGAGGTCTATTAGGGAGGGGAAATAGATTGATTGGGTAGACAACTAGCCATGTCTATCATCAGTCTGACATTAGATATGATTCTTAGGAAAATACTTATGTGCAATATAAAAGGTGATTTGGACTGCATGACTTGGGTGACCAATAAAGTCTCCCCGGTCTAGTGGCCACAGTGTGTATGGATTATAATTATGGACTGATGAAAAAACGTGAAGGTGATATTAATGATGATTTATGTATAGTTCAGTGATATCACTGGGGTATATTTTAAGTTCATTTTCTGTTTGAATAAAGTTACAAAGAAATAATTAACTACAATATATGTTTAATAACCATCTAGGAATCATATCTTTATAATGTTAATTCCTTTAATTTCACTCATTGATTCATTCATCACATGTTTACTGGGCACCCCTATGTGCCAGATGCTGTCCTGGGAGCTAGGGATAGGGCAATGAGGAAGGTAGACCAGTCCCTATTTCCACTGACCACAGAGTCTAGCTGGGGAGATAGGCAATAAGCAAGAGAACCAATCAATGAGATTATTACAGATTATACTATAGGATACTAGGAGAGAAACAGTGATGGCGACGGAGTGATAGGGTATGAGGGGCAGGTGCTAATTCAGGCGAGGTGGCCTGGCCAGGAGAGGCTGCCCCTCAGAGGTAACCTTTGAGTTGAGAGATGAGAATGAGCCAGAGTGTTTGTGTTGGGGTGAGATGAGAGGAGCAGGTACAGAGACCAGAGACAGGAGAGGGGCTTGAGGCTGGTGTGGGTGCACCATGGGGGAGCAAGAGGGTACCTGTGTTAAGGGAGGCAGATGCCTTTCCATGCAGGGTCCATTGGGCCATTGCACAGGAGCTATGGAAGGCCCGAGACATGAAGGGGATGGTCTGACTTGTGTTTACAGAGCCGTCCCCTGCCCCGACTGCCATCTGAGAAGGGCTGGAGGGAAGCAAGAAAGAGGGTACGGGTTGGTTAGGAGGCTATTGCTTTGGCCCCAGAGAGAGACAGTGATGATTTGGATAAGGCTTTCAGAGGAAATGGAGCACAGGTGCCCATAGTTCAGCAGACCTAGAACTGACAGGACTTGCTGGAAACTAGGAAAAGGCTAGTTTCTAAGTAAAAAACATTCAGTTTCGTGTTACCTATAAACTCTGATGGCAACATCTTAGCTGAGTACTTGCAATTCTTCTTAACTCAACCTTCATACATTCAAAGGTTAATGTCTACTGGGATAAGTGGGTGGGGTTTTGGTCTTTTTTTAATTTAGAAGAAAACACAACAGGAAAGGATTTTATTTATTTAGTTTATTATGTTAATCACCGTACATTACATCATTAGTTTTTGATGTAGTGTTCCATGATTCATTATTTGCATATAACACCCAGTGCTCCATGCAGAAGGTGCCCTCTTTAATACCCATCACCAGGCTAACCCATCCCCCCACCCCTCTCCTCTAGAACCCTCAGTTTGTTTTTCACAGTCCATTGTCTCTCATGGTTCGTCTCCCCCTCCTATTTCCCCCCCT